CTTATCTCAGGATAAAGATGTCTCAAGATACAGGAATGTACATTAATGATGGTGATGCCCCTAAGGTATGACTCTTGTCTAGGACAAAATTTATTGATTTTAGAGAACGTCTTTATCAAAAGTTTGCAGAGATAAATGAACCTTGAAATAAAATTTATCATGAATGGTTGTAACTGAACATCATTTGTGTCTAAAATACTCAAGAAGAAAATGATTTGAGACCTCTTACATAAAATTACATCAAATGAAACTAACATTGATATTCATTCTATATTTATTTCCAAGAATTTTAGTAGATTTGAAGATGATGATTATAGGGATTTTCACATAAAAATCTATTTATTGAGTTTTAATAGTTATTTTTGAATATAATTATTTATGGATTGGTTAGAAAAGGTTGAGCAATTTTTAGAATATATGAAGACCTTCAAAAAAAATTAAATTAGTTACATAGAAATTAAAGGATGTAATGTTTACATGGTAGGAGAAATTACAGTCAAATTGTGTCAAGTCATGCAAAGAACCAATTCTCACTTGGCATAAATTGAAAAAAATATTGAAATATTAATTTATTGTACCTAAATATGACAAAATTTTATATTACCAATATTAAAATGAAAAATAAGATAATAATTCTCTTTCAGAGTTTACAAAAAAAATTATGTATTATCTTCACAATGAATTTGATAGAATCAAAATTTGATATGATCTCGAAACTCAAAGTTAGCCTTAGATGGTATATTAAAGATAAGATAATACTACAATAATTTTCAAAATTAAGGGACATTGCTATGGTGTTTTAACATGTAGAATCCTTAATAGAAAGGGAAAAAATTAAATCTCAAAATTCAAGTAATATCTCACATTTCCAACAAGACAAGTTTATATCAGCTTTTGTAACTTTTCCCTCAAAATTAATACATCGAAATCAAATAGAGTAGTAACAACTAGGTAAGGTTCCTCACCTAGAAGTCTTTGTGTCTAATACTATTTTGGAATGCTATAGATGTTCTGAAGAAGGCCACAAGTCAAATGTTTGTCTAAAGTGTAGTCAAGTTAATTTTACAAACACAATTGAAGAAAATGAGAATAATGAATCAGAAGATAAAATATAATTCAAAAACAAATCATCAAATCTCACAACAAAGATGTACTTAGTATCAGTTAAATGGATTTGTATCTGCTAAAAAAAGAGGAAGATTTTTATAATCAAGGAAGTCTTGTCGTGAAAAGAAGAAGAGTAACCTAAGATAGAGATTAAGGTCAACAGCAACATAACAATTTACAATGCAATATCTTATCAGCAGTAAGGTATGTGATGTTTTCATTGATAAAAGTAATAGCAAAAATATTATTTCTTCAAGTATGCTAAAGAAATTAAGAACGAAAATAGAGCCATACCCATATCCTTACAAAAGTACCTATATAAAAATAAGTTATTGAAACTAAAGTTTATGAAATTTGTCTTGTGAAATTTTGAATTGGAAAATTTTATTTTGAATAAATTAAGTGCGATATAATTGATATGGATGCATGCCACATTACTATGAGGAAATCTTGACATTTTGATGTTGATGACATTGATCATGGAAGAAACAATGTTCCTCTTTTATAAAAACGACCAAAAAATTATATTAGGTCCAATGAAAAATAAATGTTAATTGTTTCACATGAAAAAAAGAATGAATTATTCAAATTAAAACCAAATGATTTCACATGAAGTTAGAAAGTGAAGAAGAAAACATTAATGTTAATTATTCAAAAGGAATTTATAAATAATTTAGGTTTAAAAATGTGATTATAATTTTTAATAATTTATTAGTTTTTTAGTTTGCAAGTTGATTGCAATTATCCATGATTTTATTCAAAAAAAATTATCTGAATTTACTACTATCTAAAACTTGCCAAATTGTCCTCCACTAATGAGACATATCTAAAATCGTATAATTTTCATTCAAAGAGCAACTTTACCCAACTTGTCCGATTACAAAATGAGCTAGTAAAAATTAGGATACTGCAAGAACATGCCAAAGAATTATGATAAACTAGATTGATTAGAAATGTATGAGTTGGTGTTATGGTTCTAGATTATTAGTTTTGAAAATATATGATAGCTGGTAAATTTGTATAAATAGTAGAACTATTAACAAGATTAGAATTAAATATACATTTTCAATTTCGAGATTAGATGATATGCTTAACATGCTCTATCGCTCAATAATTTTCTCAAAAATTAATTTAAAAACTAGCTTTCATCAAATTAGAATTCATATTGGTGATGAAGGGAAAACAGTTTTTAAGACAAAGATGGGTCTTAATGATTGATTAGCAATGATGTTTGGTTTGTTAAATTCTCTTAGTACATTTAAGATGATAATGAACTAACTCTTAACTTATTTGTTAATTTTTTTTTTATATTGATGATATTTTGATTTACAATATTAATAAAGAGTAACATATTATTCAATTGAGAATAATATCAAAATAATTTAACAAATATTTAAACAAGCGATATATAATTTGTGTCATTGACTTCAGGGTGGATGAAGAAAAAGTTTTAGTAATTTGAGAATGACCAACACAAAACAATATTCATCAAGTGCAAAGTTCTATGGATTAGCCACTTTTTGCTGGAGATTTATCCAAAATTTCAACTCTATTGTTGATTTCATTACTAAATACACTACAAAAGGAAATTTCAAGTGTGCTAAAAATGTAGGTAAAATTTTTAATATAATTAAAGAAAATTTATTCTCAACTCTAATTTTAGTTGAGGTGATGTTTCAACTATTGACGTAAGAGATGCATTATACCAAAAAGGTCATTCTATCTTTTACAAGGAAAAACTTTTTGATGCTAAAAAAAAATGAATATCTTAAGAATTAAGATTTTATATTGTACAAAAAGCTGTGTTCTTGCAATTATTACTGATTCAATGAGAATTTATTTTATTTACTTATTACTAAGTATTAAAGTAAATAAAAAATTAAAGTAGCCTGAATAGAATACATGTCAAATGGTTTTCATTTATTCATTGGTTCATTTTTGTTAAAAAAACATTAGTATAAAAAATTAAATCGAGTTGTAGATGCATTGAGTACAAGATCAGTATGTCTAGTTACTTTTGTGTTGAAATAGTTAGTTCTGATTTTCTAAAAGAATTATATGAAGATGATGAAGTTTTTACCCAAGTTTTGGATGTTTGATAGATTAGTTGATCAAGTAATGGATTTCACATACAAGAAGACGTCTTATTTCATGGAAATCAATTATTCATTCTAGAGACCTTGTTACAAGAGAAGTTGATCCAAAAATTATCTGCATGAGGCTTAGGAGAACATTTAGGACATTGAAAAACTCTACATCTAAAGGAAGAATGTTACCATTGGCTACGTTTAGAGAAAAATATTGAAACTTTGTGCAAATATGTTAGATTTATTAGGCTAATAAATGATATTGTCATAACTCTCATTTTTACATTCTATTACTAATTAATGATTGACTATAGACTTACATTTATTTTATCATTTGCAATAATATGAACGATGCAATCTAGGTAGTAAACTATTTTCAAAAAGAAATAATTTATTTGCACAATGGTTATTGATGAACTCAAATTGGAGTTAAAATATGTCGTTGTGATGTAACCAAATTTATGTAAATAATATTTATAAAACCTCACTCTTCTATTTAGGATAAGTAAGGGGTTGATCCTCAAGGAGTGTGGGTAATGAGAGTAAGAATTCTACCTATTTTATTTCTTATATATATATATATATATACTTGCGATTGTGAAGGGCAGAACTAAATGTAAAAGAGGTGAAGACGAGTTATAAAAAATGTGGCAAAAAGGAGAGAATGAATCTAATGTAATAGAATAATAAAATAAATATAAAACTAGTTTGAATTAAAAGTTATTTTATCCATGAAGAGGATTATAAGGACGCCCCAAATCTAGATCTTACATAAATCTTGTTATGCACTAGTCCTAGGTCGAGTGATGCTTGATCCATGACAATCTTGATACGCTCTAGGTAATCTCTTCTCCACGATGATCTTGGGTACGAGAATGCCTATGACTAGGACTTGATTTTTCTTTTAATTTCTTCGGCTAGCCACTACTAGAGAGAGAGTCAAAAAGCATTCTTTAAGAGGGGGGGTGAGATGCCTTAATCCTCGCGAAAGTTAGGCACCTCTAATGGACGATTATGATTAATAATCAACCCTCTTTGGAAATGGCCCAGATCATTCTATAAGGGCGGTGCTCTAATCCTTCTCTTAATCTTATCTTAAGGCGCCCTAAGATGGGCAGCCTAGATCTCATCTCTTGATAGCCATTTTAAGTCCAAATGGGTTAGGCCAAGGTGACACCCTCTCTTGGGCCCACAAACATATTAAGCTGGCCCTCTCTATATGACTTGAACTTTTATTAGACTGAAAGCTTGAGCTTCTTCCTTTACTTTCAACTTATAATAAGAGCTCACCTAAGTCATTGCAATCAAATCATTATTAAGAAAATATGAGAGAATCACCACTTTACTTCATAAAAGTCAAGTGAGATTAGTCTCATAATATAAATAAAATAAATAAAATATTATGTATTAAGACTTAGATGATAAAATATTATGAATGTCATAATGAGTTGGTAACACATGTATAATTATAGTATCTACCCACTAATTAGTATCTATATATAAGATATTAATACATAGATGCAACTACTAATTTGTAATTATCAGTTATGAATTAATTACTTTTCTTCTATATTCAAAAGTTTCATAATTTATTAATGTCTAATAATTTAATTGAGATAATAATTAGAATACTCAATAATTTAATTTTCTCAGTGACATGACCTAAGTGTTGTATAATAAATCACAAATTTAAAATTTATAAAAATAGAAAATATATTTTTTAAAATTTTAGAAGTATTTCAATAAAAATAAATCAATTATAATTTGATAAAAGGTTTCAAAAAAGTGACAAAATTTTAGGTCAACATGGATGATCTGGGCTGTCCACCAAGAAAGTCAATTATTAATCTTAATCGTCTATTAGAGGGGCCTAACTCTCAAGAAGATTAAGGCATCTCGCCCTCCTCCTGAAGGACGCTTTTTGACTCTTTCTTTAGCAATGGCTAGCCGAAGGAAACAAGAAGGAAATCAAGGCCTGATCAATGACATTCTTATACCCAAGATCATCATGGAGAAGAGATTACCTAGAGCGCATCAAGATCATCACAAATAAAGCATCACTTGGCCTAGGACTGACACACAATGAGGTTTGTGTAAGATTCAGATTTGGAGCGTCTTTATAATCCTCTTCATAGATAGATTAACTTTAATTTCGAACTAGTTTTATCATTTATTCTTTTATTCTATTCTATTAGATCTATTCTCTCCCCTTTGTCATGCTTTTCATAACTCTTGTCTTCACCCTTTTGCATTTAATTCTGTCCTTCACAATCTCATGTATATATATATCTATATAAGAAATAAAATAAGTAGAATTTATACTCTCATTACCCACGCTCTTTGAGGATCAACCTTACTTATCTTAAATAGAAGAGTAAGGTTTTATAAATATTATTCGCATGAACTTGGTTGCATCATGATGACATATTTAACCTCCAATTCGAGTTCATCAATAGGACATAGACAGCTACAAGTGAATCAACTAAGGTCGTGTTGGCATCGGTCGGTGTGTTCAGTAGAGGTGCAGAAGAGTTCGAGTCAACCATGATGTCAAGTTGTTGTGGTACAAGGGAGAAGTTGTCAAGTGAGAAGATGAATAGTCTCCTCCCACGGGTGAGGAGAGTCACCACCTAGAGATCCGCCGACTGAAGATGGGAGATCTGCCAGCTAGGAGATTCAGCTAAAGACAAGAGGTTTTGACGCTCGAGGCGTCTGGAGGTGACGCTTGGGGCATCAAAATGCAATGCTCGGAGCACCGAGAGTCATCGCACAAGGCTTCAGGAGGTGACACGTTAGGCATTAGGAGGTGACACTCGGGGCATCAGAAGACAATGCACAAAGCACCGTGAGTTGATGCACGGGGCATCCGAGTTCAATGCACAAGGCGTTAGAAAAGCTAGTGATGTGACTTAGTCGTTGTATAGTAAATCATGCAAATTTAAAATTTATAAAACTAAAAATACGAATTTTCAGATATTTAGAAGTATTTCTAAATAAATATGATGGCGAGCGGGACCCGTCTCCATCAACTCAGGAGACACCGGCAGTCCGAGTTCAGCCCGATCGACGTGCAAAGACGAAGGAGCCTGGCTTTCGCTACACGGCCTAGCCCTTCGGGATGACGACATTCCACCTCCGCGACGACAACGAGCTCAAACTCACCCTTATCTTTCTTGGTATTTTCACGTTGACTTGTTGAGCCTCGCGTTTGTGTGTTAGCGGGCCCAATTCTATGTGTGTGTGTTGTTGTTTGTGTCTCCCTTTCTTTAGGGTTTTATCGGGTCTCTCTTTGAGGCCCAATTAAAACCCTAAGGGGGGGGACCTATGTGTCTTTCCTTTTGGGCCTCTTTTTGGGCTTATTTGGGTCTTCATTTGAGGCCCACTTAAGCACCGTAAGAGGGCCCTCCTCTTTCTCCTTTTAGGAGAGCTTATTGGGTCTCTCTTTAAGAGGCCCAATAAGCCCCTTTGTAGCCTTTGTGGCTTATGGGCTTGAGGGCCTCAAGTGGGCCCACCTCCCCTTAGCCCACTTGTGGGCCCCCAGGGGAGGTAGGACCCCCCCTCAAGGGAGCGCCGTATTTTTGAGAGAGATTATCGTTTGTGAGTACCTTCTCCGTGATCTAGGATATGGAAGGAAGGAGGAAGAGGAAGGCCGTCGATACCCCCTTCGAGGACTTCGTTCCTCGTGACGCTGCTGCCCGAGAAGTCCCGCCGCCGCCTGAGACCACTGCCGCCGCCGGCCATCTCAGTACCGCCCGGGAGTTGCCGCCGTCACCGGACGAAACGGTCGCGGTTGCCGCTGCAACCGCCGCCGCCTCTGCTGGAACCCCGTCACGCCATCGTGACGAAAGGGGCTCGCTTCGCCTCCCTACGAGCCGTCGCTGAGCACTCCGCCGGAGTCTCTCGACTCCTGGTTCGTCTGCCGCCTCTTCCTCCGGAACTCCACCATAAACTCGCCGGAGCCACCATCCGTCGCTCCGCCCAGTTGCTGGCCGTTCGCCGACGAACGCCTACCTGCCGCCGACGTCGGGAGAGACCCTGCAGCCGTGCCGACGAGCTAGATCCAGTCCAAGCTCCTCACAGGCCCCTGCCGGAGTTTCCCGACGCTCCGCCGCCGTCGCGCCGTTTCCGGCGCCGCTTAGACCAGGAGAGCTCAACCCTCCCTGGTATCGTCGGCCGGATCGTCTCCTCTCTGCTCCGCTTCCCGGCGCCGCCAGAGAGGCCGATCCTTCCGGCGACGGTTGGGTTTCCGCCCCAACCGCCGACGCTCGGCCTTCCCGCCGAAGCGCCGCTGACACTCAGCATTCCCGCCGAAGCGCCGCAGACACTCGGCCTTCCCGCCGAAGCGCTGCCGCCGCGCGCGCCCCGCGCGCCGGCTCCTGCGTGCCCTAAGGCCGCCGTGCGGCTTGCCTCCCGCGCCCGCTAGCGTGCCCTTCGGCCCACCAGCGGACCCACGCTCGCTAGCGTGCCCTTCGGCCCACCAGCGGGCCCACGCCCACGCCGACCGTGCCACGCCTTACAACAACCGCTATGGCGACTCTCAACCAGGACCGACCGTCGACGCTGAGCATCGTTTTTCACCGGACGTCCCTGCCTTCGTTGGATCTCCGCTCCATCACGACCCGCCGGGCTACGCAGCCCTGAAGGTTAGCTCTGTACCCCTTCTTACTTAAGTTTGATTATCTTTTGAAGGGTTTTCTCGGCTCATCTCTATCGCCATCAGGAGCACGTAGACATGATAGGACAGGTTATCAGATCGTGACTTCCGACGCTGTGCAAGACTCGTCACAATTCGTGAGTTGCAGCCCTAGGCTACTCACGACGACAGTTCTGCCATCTGTCTGGACGTGGACCGAGAGGGCCTCTTACTTACCATCGTCGAGTGTTTCCGCAGGTTGTCCTAAGTTGATCACGTATATTGGTACGCCTGCATGTGCTTAGGTTATGTGGTTAGACCTAAGTCTAGGGTTCAAACATTCTTATCAGATTGGTCCGACTGCCCCATCTCAGGACTCGAGTTTCATTGATCAGGTAAAGGGGGTTCTCGCCCCGTCCTACATCAAAATATATCAATTATAATTCAATTAAACTTCCAAAAATAGTGATAATTTTCTAGGTTGATCATAGGGATGTAATATAATATTAGGTAATTATTCAGAATTTTCTTCAAAGAATACTATTTTCTATAAATTGTACACTATTAAATGAAAATAAAATATATTTAAAAATTATGAAAAAGGGAAATAAGGTGTAGACATCAAGATGACTAATATGTCTTCATTATCATGAGTTAATAATTAGTAAATAATATATTTTTAGCCTTAACTCATGATAAATAGACTTATATTTGTGTTAAAGTGTGAAAAGTGGTTTTTAGTTGATTAACGTAAATTTTTAGGTAATTATGTGATTTTATACAAATTTATATGATTTTTATAATCTTACTTTTGAGATAAATGAAACAAATAAAATAAAATGGGGGGGACCTACTGGCCAGCCAGGCCCGCAAGTAGGTCGGAAGTGTAGTTGGGGAGTAGTCGCGAGCAGGGGCTCGGGCGGCTTGGACCGATAGAGGCATGTGTGCACCACTCCCCTTCCACGTCACTGATGGTCAGCCGGATGTGAGGCAAAGAGTGGTACATGTGCCAAAAAGAAATTTGCTTCTAAATGTAACATTACTATATATTTGTCTGAAAATTTGGTACACAACTGATGTGGGACTAAACCCGCGTCACACCTTCCCTAAAAAGGGGCAGGCAACCGGCACAGGTTCGAATCCTCCTAGAGCCAAAACTTATATTTTTTATCTGATTATCGCGACTTTCCTGCAGATCACTGGTGAAGGATTAAGCAACCAGAATCGCTAGATCATCGGCAAAAATCTCGTCAATGCAATTTGCAGAGCATTGTTACTAAAATTGTTGAACGATTCGCAATAACATGATCGCAAATCCATCGAGTAAAGCATCTCCGATTGATCGATGAACAAGCCGTCGTCGTCGAGTAAAGCATCTCCACTGGGAGACAAGTCGCCACCTCCTAAGAGTGTACCGGATGTGATGAAGAGCCTCCTCTTGCTGTGCGGACCTAAGGATGAAGCTTCCTAACATGCGCCCCACCTCCATCCAGCTCCACTCCGTCAGGTGACAGCTGTCGAAGAGCCGCAAAGTCGCCATTTTTCCACTCCGCCGAGTGATAGCCGCTGGAGACGATTCGACGACCTATTTTATTGATCTCTAGACTTCGCAAGGAGAACTAAAGATTGTCCACATCGTCCTTATCTAAATAGAGCCTTTGAGGCCGTGGGCACTACACGACTCTCCTCCCGAACGCTCAAGATTCTGGTGCATCGCCGATGCATCGCCGATGCATCGCCGCCGTGACGCCAGAACTCTATTTTCTTACTTTCAACTTACTTTCTACTTCATTTAGTGATAATTTGTGTGATTTAAATTTACCAAGATATACTTCATTCCATTACGATTCTTCTGACTTTTACAGATCTTAATTTGATCAATTAAATTGTCTGTAATCGCTTACATAAGAATCACCGAACGAAACTCTGTTTCTACCTAATTCGCGTTTGCCGGGCGTTGACGTCATCCTGACGTCCGCACTCTTATTTCCTTTTTTCGTGAATTTTAAATATATTTCCTTTTCATTTCCTAGTATAAAATTCATAGAAAATAATATTCTTTGAAAAAAATTCTGAATAATCACCAGATATTATATTATATCCTTGTGATCGATCTGGAAAATTATTGCTCTTTTTAGAAGTTTTATTGGATTATAATTGATATATTTGTTCAAAAATACTTCTAAATATCTAAAAACTCATATTTCCTAGTTTTATAAATTTTAAATTTATGTGATTTACTATACAACAACTAAGTCACATCAATGGCGTCAATGCCGGTGAACACGAATCGGGCGAAAACAGAGTTATGCTCGGCAATTCTTACGTAAGCAATTATAGACAATTTAATTGATCAAATTAAGATCTATAAAAGTTGGAAGAATTGTAATTGAATTCTAAGTGTTCGAGAGGATCGTCGTGCAGTGTCCACGGCCTCGAAGGCTCTCCTTGGACAAGGACAATATAGGCAATCTCTAGATCTCCTTGTAAAGTCTAGAGATCAATGAAATAGGTTGTCAAATCATCTCCAACAACTGTCACTCGACAGAGCAAAAAAATGACGACTTTGCGGCTCTCTGGCGGCTGTCACCCGATGGAGAGGAGCTAGATGGAGGTGGGGCGCGTGTCAAAGAGCTTCGTCCTCAGGTCCGCACAGCAAGAGGAGGCTCTTCATCGCATCTAGTATGCTCTCAAGAGGTGGCAACTTGTCTCCCAGTAGATCGTCCTCTTCCTGACGATGACTTGTTCGTCGATCAATCAAAGATGATTTACTCGATTGATTCGCGATCCTTTTATCGCAAATCGTTTAGTAATTTTAGTAACAATGCTCCATGAATCGCATTGACGAGATTTTTGCCAATGATCCAGCGATTCTGGTGGCTTAATCCTTCACCAGCAATTAGGAAAGTCGTGATAATCAGATAAAAATACATGTTTTGGCTCTAGGAGGATTCGAACCCATGTGGGTTGCCCGCTTGCATGAGAGAGATTAAAATAAGTACTCTAATACCCTTATCAAGTGATGTCATCATGGTATATCTCTATTATAAATAAGGGGTATTGTAGGTATTAAAATTATCAAAGCCTTTTGGGGAAGGTGTGATGCGGGTTTAGTCCCACATCATTTGTGCGCCAAAGTTTCAGGCAAATATATACTAATATTACATTTGCAAGCAAGTCCCTTTCTCTTGTGTGTACGACCACTCCTTATCCCACAGTTGGCTGGCCACTGGTGACGTGGAAAGGGAGTGGTGCACATGTGCCCTTATCCGTCTTACCCGCTCGAGCCCCTGCTCATGGTTTCTCTTTGACTGTGCTTCCCTTCTGACCTGCTTGCGGGCTCGGCTGGCCAGCAGGTACCCCCCATTTTGTTATATTTTTATTTTTATTTCATTTTCTTCATTTATCTCAAAAGTAAGACTGTAAAAATCATATAAATTCATATAAAATCACATAATTATCTAAAAATTTACGTTAATCAACTGAAAACCACTTTTCACACTTTAACACAAATATAAGTCTATTTATCATGAGTTAAGACTAAAACTATATTATTTACTAATTATTAACTCATGATAATGAAGACTTATTAGCTAGCATTGCCGAGAGGAGAAGGAACGACGCACGAAGCACCGTGAGTTGATGCATGGGGCGTCGAAAGGCTAGCACCACCAAGAGGAGAAGGGATGACACATGGAGTGTCGGGAGTCAATGCATAGGGCATCGAAAGGCTAGTGCCACCGAGAGAAGAAGGGACGACGCACGGAGCATCATGGGTCGATGCATGGGGCGTTCGGAGACTAGCGCCACCGAGAGGAGAAGGGTGCTGCTGGCTTGGAAAAAGAAGAAAAGTGGAGACAATATCATACGTGAGGCGGAGCGGAACCTAGCTTTGATACTGATAAGTCTTCATTATCATGAGTTAATAATTAGTAAATAATATAGTTTTAGCCTTAACTCATGATAAATAAACTTATATTTGTGTTAAAGCATGAAAAGTGGTTTTCAGTTGATTAACGTGAATTTTTGGGTAATTATGTGATTTTATACGATTTTTACAGTCTTAGTTTTGAGATAAATGAAGAACAAGAAATAAAAATAAAAATATTGCAAAATGGGGGAGTCCGCCGGCCAGTCGGGCCCTCAAGCGGGTCGGAAGCGCAGTCGGGGAGTAGCCGCGAGCGGGGGCTCGAGCGGCTTGCTTGGATCGATAGGGGCACGTGTGCGCCACTCCCCTTCCACGTCACCGGTGGTCAGCCGGCTGTGGGGCAAGGAGTGGTCGTACACGCGAGAGGACTTTGCCTAGAAAGCTAACTTTACTATATATTTGCCCGAATAATCCGCGTACAACCGATGTGGGACTAAACCTTCAGGGGCGGGCGACCGCCGCAGGTTCGAATCCTCCCAGAGTCAAAATTCATATATTTTTAACTGATTATCGCGACTTTCCTGCAGATCGCCGGTGAAGGATTAAGCAACCGGAATCGCTGGATCATCGGCGAAAATCTCGTCAACGCAATTCGCGGAGCATTGCTACTAAAATTTCTGAACGATTCGCGATAAAAGGACCGCAATCCATCGAGTAAATGATCTCCGATTGATCGACGAACAAGCCGTCGTCGGGAAGAGGACGATCCGCCGGGAGACCAGTCGCCACCTCCTGAGAGCGTACCAGATGCGATGAAGAGCCTCCTCTTGCTGCGCGGACCTGAGGATGAAGCTCCCTAACACGCGCCTCACCTCCATCCAGCCCCTCTCCGCCGGGTGACAGCCGCCGGAGAGCCGCAAAGTCGCCGTTTTTCCGCTCCGCCGGGTGACAGCCGCCGGAGACGATTCGACGACCCACTTCATTGGTCTCTAGACTTCGCGAGAAGATCTAGAGATTGCCCACGTCGTCTTTGTCCAAGGAGAGCCTTCGACGCCGTGGACACTGCACGACGACCCTCCCGAACGCTCAGGATTCCGGTGCATCGCCGACGCATCGCCGTCGCGACGCCGGAACTCTGTTTTCCTGCTTTCAATTTAATTTACGCTTTATTTAGTGATACTTTATGTGATTTTAATTTACCAAACTATACTTCGTTAAATTACGATTCTTCCGGCTTTTACAGATCTTAATTTCATTAATTAAGTCGTCTGTAATCGCTTACGTAAGAATCGCCGGGCGGAACTCTGTTTCCGCCCGATTCGCATTCGCCGGGCGCTGACGTCATCCTGACGCCCGCACCCTTATTTCCTCTTTTTTTTTCGTGAATTTTAAATATATTTCCTTTTTATTTCCTAGTACAAAATTCGTAAGAAAATTTTATTCATTGAGAAAAATTCTGAATAATTACCAGATATTATATTACATCCCTGTGATCGACCTGGAAAATTACCGCTATTTTTGGAAGTTTTATTGAATTATAATTGATATATTTATTTAGAAATACTTCTAAATATCCGAAAATTCATATTTTTCTAGTTTTATAAATTTTATATTTGCGTGATTTAACATACAACGACTGAGTCACGTCAAATTTTGGCGCCGTTGCCGGGGATGTATTGCATAATATTTAGTATTTTTCTGTTTTTCTCTTAGAGTACACAAAAAAAAAAAACTTTACTCTTGTTTTATTTTCTTTTTGCCGATTTTTATTAGAAAAAGGGAACGAAAAGAAGCACGGCAAGGACTGGAGCATCCTGAAGGAGGGTAACAGTTACTAGCTTTTTCCCTCGAATTTATTGATTTTTATGCATGGTAGAAGATCCTTGCATCCAAGGCTAGAAAATCCTTTCATTATTTCATTCAAAAATAAAAATCCAAAAGAAAAATTAATTTTGATGGATCCTGAAGGAAGTACAGGTCAAACTGAGAACAATCCTATGGCCATGAAAAATCATTATATCCCTGATTCATTTCAAAGAGCATCTAATATTAGAGTCCCATTAGCACCCACTGTTAAATTCGAAATAAATCCAAGAATTTTTCAAATGCTCCCTAATTTTCATGGATTGGCTTTAGAGGAACCTCATCAGCACTTAGAAAAATTTCATATGGTCTGTGATTTAGTTAATCTCCCTCAAGTTACACCGGAAATTATTAAGATGAAATTATTCCCTCATACACTTAGGGACAAAGCTAGTCATTGGCTATCCACATTGGATAGAGAATTAACTAGCTGGAAAGATATAGAACATGCCTTTCTTCGAAAATTTTATCCCTTAGGAAAAACTCAAAATATGAGAAAACATATATAGAGTTTTTCTCAAAGACCAGGAGAAACTTTGCATGAGACATGGGAAAAATTCAAGGATTTACTTAGAAAGTGTCCTCATCATGCTATACCCAAGTGGCAGCTCAATAGAATTTTTTATGATGGATTATTAGAACAACATAGAAATATGGTTGATTCTATATGTGGAGGAGCTTTTATGGAGAAAACTCCTGATGAGATTTACAATCTTTATGAGAATTTAAGTGAAAATTCTAGAGATCAAGCTTCTTTTGAATTATATGACAGGGATAAGAAGAGAGGAATTTATGAATTGCATCATGATGATGATTCTAAACTTAGAAATGAGGTTAATCAGATTAATCAAAGATTAGAAAAAATTGATTTACTTATTGATAATATTAGAAAGCCTTTTAACCCTCAACTTAATTCGAATAGTACATGTCCTACGTATGGTGAAAATGATTATTCTGAATTTCAATGTTATAATTTAGATCAATCATTTCACCCTATACAAGAACAAGTGCAAGTAGCTCACGGTTTTAATAGAAATAGGGAAAAATTTTCAAATTCTTATAATCCTAATTGGAGGAATAATTTTTCATGGAGAGACCCAAATAATATTCAAAATCCAGAAGCACTTAGACCCAATTCAAACTCTGAATTTCATCCAAAACAAGAAAATAGATTTCAGAAAAATCAGCCCTCTCAAACCCAACCTGATGCTATGGAAATGATGCAGCAAATGAGCCAAATGATGCAACAAACTATGAATCAAATGATGCAGCACCAGAAACAAATTATAGAGGCCCTTGGGAATAAGAGAGAAGAGGGACAGCTACCTAGTCAGCCCATAGAAAATCCAGGGAACCGCCCAACAATAGGATTTCAGCATGGGGAGTCTAGTAGCATGAATCTAGGAAAAAACCCACAAAATGAAAATGTTAGGACAGTGAATGCATTAAGGAGTGGTAAGATCTTACCTGATCCTTATCCCCAAACATTAGAAGAAAAAGAAAATGTGGACAACCCAAAACAAAATCAAATAGGAGTAGAAGAAGATTTTATAGATTCTACCAAAGAAATTTCGAAAGAGAGGACAACCATTCCATTTCCTAAAGCTCTAGAGCCTAGACAAAGAAAGAAAAAGGAACACAATGAAGAAATAAAGAAAATTTTACAAGATGTGCAAATTAGTCTTCCTTTACTCACTGCCATTGAACATATTCCTGAATATGCTAGAGTTTTGAAAGAAATGTGTACACCAAAAAGGGCACCTAGAGTAGAAAAATTATCTATGCATGCGAGTGCATTATTATTAAATCAATTACCATTTAAATTGAGAGATACAGGTGCGCCTTTAATTTCGTGTGATATTGGTGGATTCATTTTTCAGAATGCATTACTTGACACCGGTGCTAGTATTAATTTATTACCTACAAGTATTTGTGATAAATTTAATATTTCTGATCTTAAACCTTCTACTGTTACCTTACAATTTGCTGATAGATCCATAAAACATCCTAAAGGTATCTTAGAAAATGTGATAGTGACAGTTAAAGGGTGTAAATTTCCAGCTGATTTTGTAGTGCTGGAAATGGATTTTAATGGACAATTTTATGATACATCAATCATCCTAGGGAGACCATTTTTGCATACAGTAAAGATGAATATTGATTTTCCCACAGGTATTGCGAAAATTTCATGTGGAGATCAATCAGTAGAAATTAAAACTTTTGAGGTATCAAATGATCTTAAGAAATCCCAAGTATATGATTGTCATACCATAGATCTTCTAGATGATTTTGATGATCCAGATGTTATTGATGACTGTGTGCTGGAAGAATTAGAGGAAATAGAGAATATAAATTTAGAAGAAAAGAAAGAGGAAGATCATCTGAATTTAGAGTTGAAACCTCTCCCCTCTAGTTTAAAATATATGTTTTTGGAGGAAAATAATTCATTTCCTGTTATTATTGCAGCTGATTTGAGTAATGAACAGGAAGAAGAATTATTAGATGTACTTCGAAAAAATAAGAAGGCTATGGGCTGGAAAATGGACGATCTAAGGGGCATTGATATGAGAGTATGCATGCATAGTATATATTTAGAGGAGGGGGCTAGAACTAGCAGGGAACCACAACGAAGATTAAATCCTAACATGATGGAAATTGTAAAAAAAAGAAATTTTAAAGTGGCTGGCCGCTGATATTATTTACCCTATTTCAGATAGCAAATGGGTTAGTCCTACACAAGTAGTGCCAAAAAAATCAGGGATCACAGTTATAAAAAACGAAAATGGGGAGGAAATACAAACAAGACTAACTACCGGTTGGAGAGTTTGCATTGATTATAGAAAATTAAATTCAGTTACTAGAAAAGATCATTTTCCCCTACCATTTACTGATCAAATTCTAGAAAAATTATCTGGAAAAAACTTTTTTTGTTTTCTGGATGGATACTCTGGTTATAATAAAATTTATATAAACCCTTTAGATCAAGAAAAAACAACTTTCACTTGTCCATTTGGTACTTTTGCTTTTAAACGCATGCCTTTTGGTCTGTGTAATGCTCCAGCCACATTTCAAAGATGTATGCTGTCTATTTTTTCTGATATGATTAGAAAATGCACGGAAATTTTTATGGACGATTTTTCTGTTTTTGGCGAATCATTTGATGAATGCTTAAATCATTTACAGCATGTACTTGAGAAATGCATAGAGAAAAAATTAGTTTTGAGTTGAGAGAAATCACATTTTATGGTTAAAGAGGGAGTTGTGTTGGGTCATATTGTGAGTAAAAGGGGTTTAGAGGTGGATAGAGCAAAAATTGATATTATATCTAAAATGAAACCTCCAAATTCAGTAAAACAGATTAGATCTTTCTTGGGTCATGCAGGTTATTACAGAAAATTTATTCAAGATTTTTCGAAGATTTCTAAACCTCTCACCATGCTATTATCTAAAGATATGCCTTTTAATTTTGATGAGAAATGTTTTGAGTCTTTTTCCGTAATAAAAAGATTACTTACTGAAGCACCCATTTTACAAGCTCCTGATTGGTCCCTTCCCTTTGAAATAATGTGTGATGCATCGAATTATGCAGTGGGGGCCGTTCTAGGACAAACAAAAGAGTCAAAACCCATAGTAATTTCATATGCTAGTAAAACTATATCCGATGCTCAATTAAATTATACCACGACTGAAAAAGAGTTGTTAGTTGTAGTATTTTCGTTAGGAAGGTTTAGATCATATATTTTGGGAGCTAAAATTATTATTTATACTGATCATGCAGCATTAAAATATCTGTTAAATAAGAAAGATGCAAAGCCACGTTTATTAAGATGGATTTTATTGTTGCAGGAATTTGACCATCTTTCTAGATTAAGTGACACAGGAATAAATGCAGCACCTTTACAAGACGCATTTCTAGATAAACAATTGATGGCAGCTCAACATCAACCATCACCATGGTATGCACATATTGTTAATTTTCTGGTTTCTGGAAAAACTCCAGAACAGTGGGATAAGAACAGAAAAAATCATTTCTTTTCTAAGATTAGAAATTATTTTTGGCATGATCCTGATTTATATTACTTGGGCAATGATCAAATTTTAAGAAGATGTGTTCCTGAAGAAGAATACCATAGCATTATTAACATGTGCCATTCATCTAACTGTGGAGGACACTTCTCTGGACGAAAAACAGCTGCAAAAAATTTTCAGTGTGGTTTTTATTGGCCTACAATCATTAGAGATTCTATAGAATTTAGTAGAACATGTATTTCATGCCAATCTATAAGTAACATGAGTAAAAAACATGAAATGCCCATGAGTAACATGTTAGTAGTCGAAATTTTTGATGTATGGGGAATAGATTTCATGGGTCCCTTCCCATCAGCTGAAAAATATGAATATATTTTGCTTGCTGTTGATTATGTGTCGAAGTGGGTGGAAGCTATTCCTACTAGAACTAATGATCATAAAATCGTGATGAAATTTATGCAGGAAAATATTTTTTCGAGATTTGGATGTCCTAGAGTGATTATTAGTGATGGAGGAACACATTTTACAAATAAAAATTTTAGAGAACTGTTGAAAAAGAATGGAGTACACCATAGAGTAGCCACTCCATATCATCCCCAAACAAATGGGCAAGCTAAAGTAGCAAATAGGGAAATTCAGAGAATTTTGAGAAAAATAGTTAGACCAGATAGGAAAGATTGGCCCACGAAATTACAAGATGCATTATGGGCTTATAGAACAGCTTATAAAAATCCCATAGGTATGTCCCCATTTCGTCTCATTTTTGGAAAGCCATGTCATCTTCCTGTGGAAATAGAGCATAAAGCATTATGGGCTATAAAAAATTTATGTATGGATGAAAAATCAGCTGGTGGGCATAGAATTTTTCAGTTACATGAACTAGAGGAGTTGAGGAATGAAGCTTATGAAAATCATAGAATATATAAAGAAAAAACTAAAACTTTTCATGATAAATACATTAGCAGAAAAAATTTGATGTTGGACAAAAAGTGTGGTTATATGATTCTAGGTTGAAATTATTCCCAGGAAAATTAAAATCAAAATGGAAAGGGCCTTATGTGGTGGAAGAGACATATGATCATGGGGCTGTAATGATTAAAGATCCTAAAAGTGATCATAACTTTAAGGTAAATGGACAGCGGCTTAAACATTACATAGAACATGAACGCCTTGCAGAAAAAGAAATTTTATTATTAAAAAAAATTCAAGAGTAAGATCAAGGAGTCCAGCTGGAGACATTAAATTCAGCGCTGCATGGGAGGCAACCCATGGTTTTTATTTCATTCTGTTTGATTTTTTTTAAGCTCTGTTTTTCTTAGAATTTCGCAGTACTTGTTTCTGTATTTGTTTTTTTTCGAAGAAGTGCAGGAGGAGGTGTGTAAGATGAAGTGGAAAATTAAAAACGAGGTTGAGGTGATGTCTTTCTGAGCTTTATCATTTATGACAATATTTTTAATGCTTAACTTTGCATATATGCATGCTTTACATGAAAATTATATTTTCTACATATTCTGTTTCGATTTTTTTTTGTGTCATTGAGGACAATGTCATTTTTAAGTCGGGGGGGAAGTATTCATTATTAATTTATGCTGTAGGACGATTAAGAACATGTGTTTGCATTTTATTCAACTTAGAACAGCAACTAAAAAAATAAAAAAAATCGCCGAATTCGGAAAAACTGCAACATCTATTTTCTGGTTTTCTGTCAGGAACAACAGACTGTTAAAAACAGCAGATGAAAAAACAACCCGAAATTTGAAATTATAGAGACCCTTTTCTCACATTTCAATCCCCTAGACATATATTACTGAAATTCGAAATTACAGCTATAAAGAAGATAGTTTTGATTTATTTTTGACAAATTTATTGCTGCTAAAATAGAACTGAAAACAGAAAACAGAACTGTCAGAACTATCTAATTTACAAATTCCTTACATCATATTGCATGCATGAAAAATTAAATCAATTAGATTGATTGATACCAAAAGATATTAGGAAGATTATTATTGAGTCAAAAGAATGATCTAGTAGCATGAAATGTTGGAATACTCCTTGGATACATGATAGATAACATGGATTTGATTTTACAGATTTTCACTTCATGATCTTGATGGATAATATTTACTTGATGTGAAAATTTGATTGATCATTTGAGTTTAATGGAGATTTTTGCACCCTGATCTATAGGACTTGTGAGGAGAAATCACTTATTTCAAAAAAAAAAAAAAAAGAGAGAGCAATGTGAAAAATCTAGAAACGAAGAGTACACATGGAGGGTGTGACACATCATTCTCATTGTCGAAAATCGTGCATAGAAAAACACTTGCTGAAAAATAAGTGGATAAAGTGAAAGCCCTGAAAATGAAGAGTACACATGGAGGGTGTGAGACATCATTCTTATTGTCGAAATTTGTCTACAGGAAAAGCTACTTATCCACTATATATATAAAAAAAAAAGAAGGAAGAAATATAGTGCAAACTTCAAAAATCAAGTCATAGAAAAAGGGAAATGTAAGATCAATATTATTCTTGGATGAGTATTGATAATTGGAACATCTTGTAAATACATCTATGAGTGAAGAAGTGATAAAGATGTGAATAGAAGAAGTGAAGTCTAGATTGTTATTCCAAGGAGTGTTTAAACATTTAAGTGCTTGACATCATTCTTAAATACTTGATATAAGAATCCAAAGTGTTTAAAGGTGCATCATTTCTAATTGTATTTCTTTTCTGTATTGAAATATGATGTTTGAGATTTGTAAATTTTTATTTTTGTAATTCCATTGCTAAGGGACTAGCAATGATTTAAGTTGGGGGGTGTGATAAGTCTTCATTATCATGAGTTAATAATTAGTAAATAATATAGTTTTAGCCTTAACTCATGATAAATAAACTTATATTTGTGTTAAAGCATGAAAAGTGGTTTTCAGTTGATTAACGTGAATTTTTGGGTAATTATGTGATTTTATACGATTTTTACAGTCTTAGTTTTGAGATAAATGAAGAACAAGAAATAAAAATAAAAATATTGCAAAATGGGGGGACCCGCCGGCCAGCCGGGCCCGCAAGCGGGTCGGAAGCGCAGTCGGGGAGTAGCCGCGAGCAGGGGCTCGAGCGGCTTGCTTGGATCGATAGGGGCACGTGTGCGCCACTCCCCTTCCACGTCACCGGTGGCCAGCCGGCTGTGGGGCAAGGAGTGGTCGTACACGCGAGAGGACTTTGCCTAGAAAGCTAACTTTACTATATATTCGCCCGAAAAATCCGCGCACAACCGATGTGGGACTAAACCCGCGTCACACCTTCCTCAGAAGGGCGGGCGACCGGCCGCGGGTTCGAATCCTCCCAGAGTCAAAATTCATATATTTTTATCTGATTATCGCGACTTTCCTGCAGATCGCCGGTGAAGGATTAAGCAACCAGAATCGCTGGATCATCGGCGAAAATCTCGTCAACGCGATTCGCGGAGCATTGCTACTAAAATTGCTGAACGATTCGCGATAAAAGGATCGCGAATCCATCGAGTAAATCATCTCCGATTGATCGACGAACAAGCCGTCGTCGGGAAGAGGACGATCCGCCGGGAGACGAGTCGCCACCTCCTGAGAGCGTACCAGATGCGATGAAGAGCCTCCCCTTGCTGCGCGGACCTGAGGATGAAGCTCCCTGACACGCGCCCCACCTCCATCCAGCTCCTCTCCGTCGGGTGACAGCCGCCGGAGAGTCGCAAAGTCGCCGTTTTTCCGCTCCGCCGGGTGACAGCCGCCGGAGACGACTCGACGACCCACTTCATTGATCTCTAGACTTCGCGAGAAGATCTAGAGATTGCCCACGTCGTCTTTGTCCAAGGAGAGCCTTCGAGGTCGTGGACACTGCACGACGATCCTCCCGAACGCTCAGGATTCCGGTGCATCGCCGACGCATCGCCGTCGCGACGCCGGAACTCTGGTTTCCTGCTTTCAATTTAATTTACGCTTTATTTAGTGATACTTTGTGTGATTTTAATTTACCAAACTATACTTCGTTCAATTACGATTCTTCCGGCTTTTACAGATCTTAATTTGATTAATTAAATCGTCTATAATCGCTTACGTAAGAATCGCCGGGCGGAACTCTGTTTCCGCCCGATTCGCGTTCGCCGGGCGCTGACGTCATCCTGTCGTCCGCACCCTTATTTTTCGTGAATTTTAAATATATTTCCTTTTCATTTCCTAGTATAAAATTCATAGAAAATCGTATTCATTGAGAAAAACTCTGAATAATTACAAAATATTATATTACATCCCTGTGATTGACCTGGGAAATTACCGCTATTTTTGGAACTTTTATTGAATTATAATTGATATATTTATTTATAAATACTTCTAAATATCCAGAAATATGTATTTTCTAGTTTTATAAATTTTAGATTTACGTGATTTAATATACAACGACTGAGTCACGTCAGATACCATGTACACAAATAGAATATGTATTACTCAAGGAAATAGGAGGGGTACATGTCTCCCTATATAGAGAGAGAGAGGAAGATGAAGAGCCAAGTGAGAAGGCGAATACTAAGAGACATGGGGAGGCTAAGAGATACAGGGGTGAAGAATGTGAAGGGCCAAGAGGTGTGAGAAGGCTGAGAGGCCTATAGTGGGCCTTCATGCTCACAGAGAGAATGCTTGTATCGCATTTGGTTCTCTCTAAAAGGCGATGACTTCTCTTGACAAATTGTCCTCTTCTTAATGATGGCTCATTCATCAATCAATTGGAGATGATTTCTTTGATGAATTTGTGACTTTTATATTAAATTCTTGGTCAATTGCTAACTGCTTAATCATTGATTGGCAAATGATTTTTACAAATAGCATTGATGAAATTTCCATCGATAGGTGAATGATTCCAATTGCTTAATCATTGATTGGCACTCTGCAAAAAAGTCCAAAGTTAATCAGGTAAAAGATAAAATTTGGCTCTAGTGGGTTTCGAACCTTTGCTAGTTGTTTACCTGCATGAAAGATAGTTAGATAATTACTCCGATACTTTTGAATAGTGATGTCATTGAGGTATTTCGTTCTTATAAGATAGGGGCATGTATAAAAATATGTAAAACTCACTAGTGACTACTAGTGTGAGTGTAATCCCACATTGATTGTTTCCTAATATTTGAGACACATCTATGTCTTTACATCCTCTTGTTTTGAATAACTCTTTCTCACATATACATATGTATATGACCACTCCTTGCCCCATTCCTAACTGCCCCTAGTGACGTGGAAGGGGAATGACACACACACGACCCTCGACTAGTGCTTAGCCAATTGAGCTAGCTCATGGCTCTCCTCAACTATGCCTCTGACCCATGTGTAGGCCTAGCTGGCCAGCATGTCCCTTCACTATACTTCCAACATGCATTTAGATCTCGGCTAGATAGTGTCCCCCTTTTTTTTTCTTTTATTTATTTTATCTTTCTTTATTTTATCTTTAAAATATGATTATAAAATTATGTTAATTCACATAAAATCACATAATTAGTAAAAAATTTACAATAATTAAATGAAAACCTATTTTTTCAACTTAACATAAATATAAGTCTATTTATCATGAGTTAAGGATTAAAATCTATTATTAATTAATTATTAACTCATGATAATGAAGACTTATTAATAGAGTTTAAAAGAAATTAAGAAATAATATTATAACTTAGCTCTAGCCAAGTTTTCTTGTAATTTAATAGTAAATTGATCTATTAATTGATCTTCATCTTTTATTATTTGTTATTTTTCTCCTAAGATCATTCTAGATCTACTAAATTACCAAGACAAATAAAAAACATATATTACTATCGACGTGACTTAGTCGTTGTATAGTAAATAACGTAAATTTAAAATTTATAAACCTAGAAAATACTAATTTTTAGATATTTAGAAGTATTTCTGAACAAATATATCAATTATAATTCAATACAACTTTCAAAAATAACTATAATTTTCTAGATAGATCACAAGGATGTAATATAATATCGGGTTAGT